AAGCAAAACAAAGTAAACTGACAATTTTTTCTAGAATATATCCTTTTTCCTTGAAAAGATAAGGCATTTTTCAATTACTCTTGATCGAATTGGGGTTTAAAACCAAATTGGGTAGTGATTAGATAACGATATTTGAAAACATATATTGATAACGCTCTAAACCGTTCATGGTGTCATTATTCATAATATACAGAGTACTGATTAGTTAGACGAAAATAAAGATACAACCCTGAATATCTTTGTATATTAAATTTCATTAATATTATAGTAAATTTTTTTTTTGTCTATGTGGTCATTGAAAATTTTGGATTGGGTCCCTCAAACGAAATAACTACATATATGGTCACCATGGTTTTAACTTTTGATACGGATTGGGTCCCTTATCCTAATTTCACTAACTAATACTTCGTTAAATCATGGGTAATATCGTCTTTTTACAAAAAAAATTATAAATATACTCATTTTTCAAAAACAAAAATTTAATATATTTTATTAATTCAATATATATTAAAAATGAAAAATTATTTAACTTTAAAGGGGAGGGCACAGGCCATGTACTGGCCCCCCTCCTCCTTCTCCGGCCGTCGACCTTCTCTTTCCCTCTCCAGTCGTCGACCTTCTCATTCCTTCCCTCCTACACGTATCTCCGCCTTTCGCAAGAAGGTGACCAACAATCACAAGAACTCCATCGTTCACACCATCCCCTACCTCCTTCCTTACACCTCACTGGCCAATCATCGTCCCCCCCCCCCCACATCTCCCAACTCTTCGGCCGGGTGGCGACAATCGACAATCTCGATAGAGATTAACTCTAGTAAAAGTTCCCAGACTCCACCATCATCTACAAGAAATCTAAAATCCCCCAGACTCCATCTCTTTCGGATCTGTGGAGCATAAAGAGGAAGAAGAAGAATAATGCTTCAAAAATTGAACCAAAATGCGCCTGCAAGAAGAACTCCATCATCTTCCTCGATAAAAAACCCTTGATCTGGAGGTTGTGAGGTTTGATGATTCTGGAAGAACGAAGATCAAATATGGAACTCAACTCGAACGAGTAGATGAATGAAAATTGGAGGACCAAAACCAAATATGGAACTCGTCTCCTAATTTCTTTTCACTATTTGATAATTAAGGTGTATTCAGTAACAAGTAAAATTGGAGTAAAAATCCATGTAGTCATTCACATATTTGATTTACAGATGGTTTTCTTTGACATATTTATAGTTTACTAATGGTTTCCATCCACATATTTGATTTCGTCCACAATTTTGGTTTCCATTTACATATTTGATTTTTGATAATTATCATTTTTTAGAGTTATTTCTTATTTATTTCTTCTGTTTGTTCATATATTGTAACATACCTTTTTTTTTTAATATGCTTGCCATTTGCCTCTAAACGTGTTCTAATGTGTATTGTTTGTTTAATAAAGTAGATTATATGTTTTTATTATGTTCTATAAAGGACTTGAGCAAAACTTTTAATAAATTGAAGGGCTTCATAGGTTAGAGTTAGCAGCTTCATTCTCTCGTTCAGAGTTTGAATAACTCTGAACTCATGGTCTTCAAACTTCGTCTTCAGATTTGATATTTAGCACTCGTCGGGTCTTCAGATTTTTAACACTCTTGAGGTTTTCTTTTCCAGAAATCTGATAAATGTCTTTCACAGTAAGGAAAAGATATCTATCTAACTACCTAGAATAACATAATTATGTTGGCGATGAGTCACGTCTAGCTGTCTCCAGGTAGCGTGTCCAATCGGTATTCTTCATGTGTCGATTTGTTAGGATTGATTTGATCGAACAATGGTTGATACTTGCGTAATTCTTCAGCTACTGGAAACATGAGGGGGTTATGGAAAGACTAAGTTCATCGACCAGATGAACTCTTCAATAGTAGATGATCATCAGGTTAAGTGCTTCTGATCTTCATAGCCTCTATGGATTGTCTTCATGGTGTCTCTGGTTTTCAGCACTTAGAATGTTTTCTACTCCACTTCTAGATCTCCATCAGGTCTCCAGACTTCTATACTTGGTATATTTTTCATTACTTTTACATATGAGACTTATGGGATCTAACAATGTCTTATATTACAATATAAAAGTAAATAGAAATTCAAACATCATACAACTAACACCACGCTCATAATTAGACAAATAAACTAGATTTTTTTCGTGAGTCTTATTTGGATTACAATATAAAAGTAAATAAAAATTCAAACATCATACACTCACGAGTAAACAAATAAAGTACATTTTTCACGAGCCTTATTTGGGATTTTGAGGTAAACTGGATAAAAATTCTTTTAAATTTAATGTTAGTATTTTCTTTTAATGATAGTATGAATGTATGTATGTATGTATGTATGTATGTATGTATGTATGTATGTATGTATGTATGTATGTATGTATGTATGTATGTATGTATGTATATT